CTGATGGCGAGCACGCGGGGGTCGCGGCCGGCACCTGTCTGCTTCTCCTCCTTCCAGGCTGCCAGGTCGCTGGGCAGCAGCCTCTCGACCGCCACCCACCTCTGGTCGTCCATCCTGGCGAGCCCCGTGTGACCCCGGGAGACGAAGCGCGCGGGGTTGGAGGTGACGGCGACCTCGACGGTGGTGCCGAAGTCTTCGTCGGCGGGGTCGGCAACGTACCAGACGGCCGCCGAGGCCGCAGCCGCAGGCGCAGCTCCACCCAAGATACTCGCCAGCGCGTGCGCCTGCTGCATCAGGCCCGCCAGCTCGTCCTCCCCCAACGGGTCGAAACCGAGGAAGTTCCCCCGCAGGCGAGGCGGGATGGGGCACCCCCGCACCAGCGGCACGATGCGCGACGTGGAGAAGTTCCGCACCTGGACATCGTGGGTTGGAGTCGCATACACCCACCGCCCGTCGTCCCCGATCTTGACCAGGAGGATGCGGTGGTGCCACCTGAAGTTCGGGTCGTCGTCGAACGCCTCGGCAATCTGCTGCTGCTCGATGTCGAGGGCCTGCGGGACGGCGGCCATCAGCGGCGACGCCGCGGCACCCAAACGTCAGGCTCGTCGAGAGCAGCCAGACCAGCACCCCCAGCGTCGCGGTCGCCCAGCGCCAGCGGCGGCGGCGCCGCACGGCCTGCGGCCAGGGCGGAGGGCGTGGCGGGGCCCCCGAACGAGGCCCCGGCCGTCGCCGTGCCGACCCAGCGGCCGTGGCACCACAGGCGGCAGGCCGCCGCGAGACCCAAGGCGAGGGTCGCAGCAGCCAGAGCGGCGGCCCACACCGCCGAAGTCGCCCAGCCGCAGGTGCAGGCGGGGCAGGCGGCCGCCGCCGGGCAGGCGGCCAGCGAGGGGCAGATCGCCTCGGGGCAGACCGCCGCCGGGCAGACGCACGCCGGGCAGGGCGCCGCCGGCGGGCAAGTCAGCGCGGGGCAAGCAGGCGCCGGGCAGGCGCAAGGCGGGCAGTCGAGGACGTGCCCGCAGGAGCCCTGCCCCGCAGCCTCGGGCCCGGCCCACCAGCCGCCGGTGAGGCCACCGAGGAACGCCGCGATCGCGGCGGCAGGGGCGCCGAGCGGGCCGGGCCCTCCCATCCCAAGCCAGAAAAGCTGCAGAGGACTCCGATGCGGACAGTGATAATGTGTCACACTTTCAATCATCATCATCAACATCAACATCATCATCATCATCATCATCATCATCATCATCATCATCATCATCATCATCCCCCCCTTCCCCCACTCTCCCGCCCCGCCTCCCCTGCCTTGGCCCCCTCGCCCCTCCCCTGCCTGCGACCGCTCGGCCCAGGTGCTGCTCCTTTGCCCTCCCCCCCGATCACCCCTTGGGCCAGCATCGAACCGATAAGAGTCGGATCGGATCGAGATGTGCGTCGGATCGGGCCGCGTCGGCACGGAGTCCGAATCGGATCGGTCGCGCGAGGATTCACAGCAGCGTCGTGCAAGCATCGGACCGCACCAGATCGTCAGCATAGGGGGGAGAGCGGTCCGGAGGGAAACGGGTCCTGGACTCTGGGGCCTTCCCCACACGACGAGCTTCTCATCCTGAGCCGTTTTTTCTGACAGTCCCGGGGCCCGTGGAGGGCCCCGAGAGCCCGAAAACGGCGAAAAACCTCAGGACCCGTTTCCCTTGGGACCCGCCTCCCTCACCTGAAGGCCCCGGCGAGTCCTTCCCCAGGAAGCAAGCCCCAGGAAGGCCCAGGAGACGCCAGGAGCCCCTCCAGGAAGCCCCAGGAGGTCCAGGACCCCCCAGGAAACCTAAGGAAACTTGGTTGGCAACACGCATCGCGCGCGCAGATCGGCCAGCTCGTATGGCAGAACGGATCGGACCGGCCGAGATCGACAATCGGAACGGCTCGGTCGGACCGGGGGATGGGCCCCTCCTCCGAGGCCCAGCCTGCGGCACAGCGCCAAGACCGAGCGGGCCGAGAACCGCTCGAGGGCGGACCCCTCACGGCCGACCCCTCCCCCCACGGGGGGGCGGGCCACTCACGGCCGGCCCCTCCCCGAGCCGCCTCTCCTTGGGGCCCGTTGGCTCTCGGTCGCGCGGCGTCAGCGAGCGGTGTCTGCGCCAAGAGCTCTGCGGCATTCGGGGCGAGGGGGATGAGGATGAGGAGGAGGAGGAGAAGGAGGAGGAGGAGGGAGGAGGAAGAGGAGGAGGGAGGAGGAAGAGGAGGAGAAGGGCAGAGGAGGAGGGGGAGGAGGAGGAGGAGGAGGAGGAGGAAGATAGATGAGAAGGGAGTGCTACTCTATTCTATCATCAAGCGGCGTGACCAGCAGCTGGGCAGGGCACGCAGAAGCAAAAACATCGGACCTCTGGGAATCAGCCTCCTGACGTTGGCAGGAGGCCTCGTATCAAATGGCGAGGTGTCTATACCAAGAACTCTTCAACACTGGGCGCGCCAACCGCGATGCTACTTCTTTCCGGGGTGAGGCCCAGTGCTGGCTCCCCAGGAATCTAAATTTCCCATCTCTCCTCCCCTCTTCCCTCCCCCTATCCCTCCACCTCCCCAGCACGACTAAGCAAAGACAGAGGCTCGATCGAATACAGGATGCGATCGGATCGAAGCAAGTGGAGGATGGGTGATGAGAGTGAGAAGTGGGTGAGGAGGGGGAGGAGAAAGAAGGCGAACGATGATGATGCTGCTGATGATGATGATGACGATGTTGTTGATGATGATGCTGATGCTGATTTTGCTGTTGAGGATGGTGATGAATGATGGTGATGACGACGAGTATGATGATGAGATGGATGATTCTGATGATGATGATGCTGGCGCTGATACTGATGATGATGCTGCTGCTGATGATGATGGTGTGGATGATGACGCTGATGACGATGATGGTGATGATGATGATGATGATGCTTGTCAGGATGCCAATTTTGATAACGATGACGATGATGGTGATGATGATGCTGCTAATGATGATGACGATGAATGTGATGATGATGCAGCTGCTGCTGCTGATGATGTTGATGATGACGATGCTATGGATAATGATGAAGATGCTGATGCTGATGCTGATGATGATGATGCTGATGATGATGGAATGTATTATGCTGATGATACTGACACTAATGATGAAGCTGACGATGCCGATGATGCTGCTGCCAATGATAACCGGTAATGAAAAGATGCCACTGTGATGCTGCTGATGGTGATGTTGATGATGGCGAGGGTTATGATCATGCAGATGATGATGCTGATGTGATTGCTGATGGTGATGATGATGCTGATGCTGAAGCTGCTGCTGATGCTGATGATAATGCTGATGATGCTGATGCTGATGTTGCTGATGACGATGCGACGATGCTGATGACGGTGATGATGCTGATGACGATGATGAGGATGCTGATGATGCTGATGATGGTGATGATACTGATGATGATGGTGGTGGTGATGGTGCTGATGCTAATGCTGATGTTGATTATGATGATGATGATGATGATTATGATGATGATGATGATGATGATGATGATGATGATGATGATGATGATGATCATGATGCTGATGATGCTGATGCTGCTGCTGCTGATGATGATGATGATGATGATGATGATGATTAGGAGGAGCAGGAGGATAATGAGGAGAAGGATGAGCAGACTGACTGATCGAAACACATTTCTTTGAAATCTACCGAATCTGAGCAATCGATCCGAACGACTCGTGCGCGGCGCCTTTTCCTGTCCCCCCTTCCGCCTCCTGCTCCAGCTCGTGCTTTTGCTTCTGCTGCAGTTGTTGCTGCTCCTCACCCTCCCATCCCACTCTATCTATCATCTCAATCCTCTTCTTCCCCAAAGGCCAACCGAATGACAACACATGATCCAAAATCTCGTTTTCCCTGCCCTCGCTCACGATAAATGTATGGCGCTATGTGGCTGGTTCTGGAAACCCGGACTTCACCCTCAAAACATGGCATCTCTTGGGGGGGTGGAGGGGGGGAATGTTTAGTCTTCCGCCGAAGAAGAAATGCCAACTTGTCGATCCCAGGAAGCCGAAGCCCTGGAACGCCCCACGTTGGAAGCGGCTGGGGTGTCTGCGCTGGGTGGGCCCGAGAAAATCCGTCAAGAAGGGGGGGCGAGGGCAAATCCGTTCAGAATCGTCCTTAGTCCTCCCCAGGGGTCAAACGCACCAATTCCTCCCCCCCACCCGAAGGCCAACTACCGTTGCCTCCACTCGCCCGCCCTTGACCCAGGAGAAGGAAGCCCTCTCCGTGGACCTCCGATACCATGCATGTTTTTATCTTAATGTGGACCCCCAGAGATCTCGACCCATTACCCTGGACCGGTTGAACATCCTGACTTGTTGTTAGACGGTCCCGAGGGCTGGTACGGGCCTCCCGAGCCCGAACATTACAAAACCTCGAGTCGCGATTTTTTCGTGGCCCGTGGGGGCCTGGGTCTGGAGCGCCCCATGTGGCTTCCTCGAGCCCCCGACCTGCGGTCCACGTTGTTTGTTTTGCTTCTCGCGATGGGTAGGTCCACTCCCCGCTGTGCGAATCTAGCTGTCGCCAGGCAAGCCAGGAATTACGCACGAGCCGACCTGCGATAGGCAAACTCATGCAATGAATCTTGGCCTGAAAGAGAGGGCGAACGTGCCCACACGGCCAAGAGTACCGCATACACACAACTTGCCGTCGCTCGGACGCCCACTCCCCGTACATTCTTCGGTTCCGTGCGTGTCTTTGTTGCTCAACGATCCAGAATGAGCCTGGATGGTCCTCGCCGAGAAAAAATGCACAGCGGAGGTCAGGCCACAGGAAGCCTTCCACAGGAAGACCGACCCTGAGACCCCAGGGAGCCCATGGAATTTTGGTGCGGGAGCGTGGCGTCGCGCTCTCCATCGCAGAGCCATCGAAACCAAAGAAATCCTGGGCACCCTGGAGGCGAGCGGGGTGTTTCTTGGCGCGCCCGAGCGACGCCACGACAACTCGACGAGAGGAGGCGAACCTGCGGTCCACGTTGGTGCTGACGGACAGCTCCCGGCGCCTCTCCTCCGCGGCGAAGGCCACGCGGACGTGGCCCTCCGACCTCCGCGCCCGAGGGCCGGCCAGCGCCGAGCCGGCGGGCAGCGCGCTGACGACTCGAGCGCTCGGGCCGAGTGCAGTCGGCACCGCACAGAGCCCAGACTCTCTCGGGTCGTGAAGAACACGACGGGAGATGTTTTTTTTTTTGTTTGTCTCTGTTTTTTTCTATGTTTTTTTTTTTGTTGCAATTTTGGGACTCTCGGGGTCTTGACGCGGCCTCGGGAGCTTTCAAAAACGCGTCGGGGTGACAGACTGGCCCTCGGGAAAGTGTTGGGACGTCCAGGGGGCCCCGCATGGAAACAAAAACAAGGCATCGGATGTCTGGAACAGCATCGCACAGAGGGGGGCGACGATGGCGACAGGGGGAGGGAACAAGGCGGGGGAGGCAACTCCGCGGGCACAATGGACCTCGGGGGCAGCAGCGTCCACCCTAGAGGGCCGAACGGATGGTGGTCCATCCTGGGGGCCCTCTGGGCCGAGCGTCCACCCCGCAGGACTCGAGCTCTGGAGTGGCTGGTGGTTTCCTGCCCCATTCCTCCGACGGGAAGAACAAAAAAGATGGCGTGAGCATAAGCTTACGGGGTTCCGAGCGGCTTCCTTGGATCCGCAGCTGTTGTTCCACCCTTCTCATGCAATTCATCTGTACTGCATTGTCGCCCTCATACCGACGTGACACTTCGAAATGTATAGCCTTTCGCTGGTGCTACAATGCAGGTGGTATGCCCGAGTATGCCACCTGGGCGGTCATGGAAACACGCGACGGGCACATACACATACACATACACACAAGTAACATATTCATCCAAGCCAAGTGATACAGGCGCTCGACCACAAGAAACCTTCCACAAGAAACCCAACCCTGAGATTCCAGGACGTCCATTGATTTTTGGTGTGGGAACGTCACGTTTCGCATCGCAAAACCATCGAAACCCAAGAAACCGAGGGCATCCTGGAGGCAAGCAGCGTGTTTCTTAGCATAGTTTTCCACTGTATCAATGCACTTGTGGGTTCTGGATCCCCAACCCCCCGACGTTATAATTTTCGCATGACGCGACCCCCAGAGGCCCGGACCTAGTCCCCAGGCCCGGTTTTTCATCCTGAATCGTTGTTTGACGGTCCCAAGGCCCAGTGAGGGCCCCCAAAGGCAGAAAATAGCGAAAAACCTCCCGTCTTGATTTTTTCACAGCGCGAGGGGGTCTGGGCCTGCCAACTTGCCGCTCGCGGGCCACGCGTCAGAGATCTGTACTGGCAAGCAATACTGTGTGCCTGGTGTGCGGATGGTGCGAGCCCTTTGCGCCCTGCTCACGCCGTGCGCCAAAATAGGCACTGCGACCAATCAGCTGCTGCCGTACGGTGTCCAGGCCGACGGCTTGCAAGCCCCTTTCGTGAGGCGCGAAGGAGCTCCGCGATCGACAGTGGACGAGTGTATAACTATAATGCTTAGGTCGGGCACGTCCTCCTGCAGGCGGATTCTCGAAGAAGGGAATACATAGTCAAAACGTAATCAACAAGGATCGAACAAAGCACGACACATCGTCCCCAGACTACTTTTACGGCATTCTCGAATATTCCTCCGGAGGGACATGCCCGTCTTAATATCATTCGGCGGATTCTGGACACCCTGAGCCCAAACACGTTTTCATCTCTCTTTTTTTTGCGCCACGGCAATGCGCAGAATAATAAAAAAACATGTTTTCATCTCTTGGGTCTTGGGGGTGCATCTTTTACTTCCGCCGCCTTCCACTGGCCTTCTGCCGGCTTCCGCCGGCGGAGGCGACCTCGCTTTACTCCCGCCGACCTTCCACCGAGGAAGAGATGACGACTCCATCGATCCGCAAAGGCAAGGCCTTCTCTGCAACGCCTCATGTCATGTAAGCCAGCCGTGCGCACACTGCGTTCTCCTTCTGTACTTCCGAATGTGCTCGCTACTTCGACGTTGCTGGCAACAGAAAGGGCTGCAATGAGTCAACTGTGGGTCAACTGCGAGCATATATCCGTGACGAATGGCCACGGGAAATCTGCAAATGTGGGGCAACTGAACTGCATGTGCGCGGGGAGCAAATCGCATGCCCTGCGGCAGCCTGCCTCAACGACACGTTGGCACGCATGGACTTGAAGACGCCGAGCTCCTCGAAGCGTGCTTGCACCTCCTGCAGTGCAAACTGCAAGTGGCCCAAGTTCTGCACCTGGCCGGCTCTGCTCATCCGAAACAGCCGGGGCAGGACACATTTCGGTCTCCCTCTGCATACAGCCTATACCAGCAGTGCGCCACCCCAAAATTCGCCACCGTGCTGCGAGGCACTGAGTTGAGTGTAGTGCAGGGTGTCACTAGTCCCTTCAAGTTCTCTGTGTGGAATATTGGAAGTGCTCCCCCAGAAGGGGCGCAGAGCCTGGGTTCTCAGATCTCTCGGGCGCACTTGGGCGCTTCTTGGCTCGGGTCGTGACTCTTCCGAGGCCTCTGAGGCGTGGTTTGGAACACAAGATTCCAACATGCCCTGATGTGGCCACCAAGGGACGTCCTGGAACTCTCTTGGGGGCCATTTGGGCCGGCTTGGAAGCCGTTGGCCCAAGAAGTCCAGATCATTGAAACACACGTTCGACATTGTCTATCCGCGCTCGTCTTTTCGGCCTTCAGAGCGCGCAAGACGGCTTAACATGCCGCTGAGAGAGCTCAAGAGGACCCCCAGGCCCTCAAGAAGGGCCCAGTGCGCCCACGCCGAAGCGTGGTAGGCCAGAACTGGCGGCGCGACACTTTTACGTCGCAGCGCGGCAGGAGACAGTCCCCGCGCGCGTTCACGCAAGCTGGGCAACGGCATTGCGACTCGTCCCGACTGCAAGAGAGGAGGAGAAGAAGAGGGCCGGCCGCGGGAGAGGGAGAACAGGGGGGTGCCGGGGCACTCACGCGGCGATGCCGCAGCGGGGTGCGGGGGAGCGGCCGAGCCAGCGCAGCAGTCCCCGGCAGCGGGCGCGGGACGGCACCACGTCCGCACCCGGAGGTGGGTGCAGCGGCTGCAGTGCAGGCTCGAAGACCGGCAAGTCGGAAAGGCAGAGGCCGGAGCAGCAGTGGCGGCGGCGGCCCCTGGGGGGGGGCCAAGTGCGGCTGCTGGGCGGGCTGTGCAGGTGGGCTGCAAAGGCTGACCGGGGGCGTGTGGTGGCCCGCCGGGGTAGGCGACACAGCGGTAGCGAAGGCGGGGGCGCGTCCGCAGCGCGGGCCACGGCGGGGGGGCCATGGGGGAGCGGCGGGCAGGGAGGCCGAGCGTAGCCAGTACGGCTGGTGGGGGGACGCGAGACCTGGGCGGCCGCGGGAGCAGCAGCGTGGGAGCCACGCAGAAGGCCGCGGGCGGACAGGGCGGGGAGGAGCACAAAGGCAGCAGAACCAGGCCCAGGCCGGTGCACGCATCACTGCCGCGGGGGGGCGGCGCCCAGGGCGGCGCGACACGCTAAGCAAACGTTCCTGGCCGTAAATGCCCACGCTTCCAACGTGCTAATAAATCATGGCGAACGTGTGTCGTCGTTTTAGGTCTCTGGGGGCCCGTTTGGACTTCAGACCGTCCCCAAGTCACGGGTTGGGACTTCCGATACCCTGTATGAAAAAAACTCAACCCTTGACCTCCGCCTTCCGAACCTTCCGCGCAGCCATTGCCGCCGCGGCGCGGCCGCGGAGACCGCCGAGACCGCCGCTGCGGCCTCGACGGCAGCCTCGACCGTGGCCGCTCTGGCGTCCAACGCTACGCGGCATCTGCCGTCCGAAAGGTGCGGAAGGTTGGGGTCGAGGGGATACATCGGATCTCTAGGTGGGGTCGGATGATCGCACCGCATCGCCAGTGCGTCGCCAATGTAGTGGTGACGTCGGGATGAAGAACATCTGCCTCCAGATTGCGCAGCTTCGCTAATGCATCGGCGCTGCGACGCGCTCCTCCGGCCCCGTTTACTCGGGCCCCATCTGGAAAGTCTGCACGTAGGGCCAGGACAGACAAGCAACGTGCGGCAAGTTCGTGCCGTGATGGTTGGCGCGTTGGTCTCTGACGCCGGTTGCATCTTTCACCCTTGAGCGACCACGACTTCCCGATGGCACAGATCGCTCGATATCTGCTGATTCTGGGCCTCTGGCGGCGTTCAGCCTGGAACGCTCGCGCCTGGGTCGCAACCCTGTCGACGCGGCGCGAGGCTGCCGGTGTTCTGGGCTATTTGGGCCCCCCCCCCTCGGGCGGCCTCGAGCGCGCCTTAGATGGCCTCAGGTCAGTCTCGAAGACTCGTACTTTCATCGCCGCGGTGGTTGTCGAGTGGATAGGGGACATGTAAGTGGATGCTAAGGTGAGCTACATCTGGCCTGCACTACCTCTTACATGAGTTACAAAGGCCCTAAATTGCTTGGAAAAGGGGGGGATAATGAGTTACCGGACCCACCCCTACGCCAAAAAGGAGACTTCTAATCCACTTATTAACTTGGTTCGACCAGATAGAAATCACCTTCGCATCCATTTATCCCCCCCTACCTACTTTAGCCCCCCCCCGCGGTCACTCTAGCGGTACTCTCTCCCACCGTGAAGGGTCGCGAGATCTCTGGAAGAGATGCCCAATACGGCCAGGACCAATGAGCAGTGTACAGTCAACCCGTATGCTAAGGATTCGCGGTATGTATGCAAGGGCCTTGGACGGCCATGCCGACACTTTGCGAGCGGGGCGCGGCCAGCGAAAGCGGCAAAGGATGGGCCGACGTGGAAGGATGCAAGGGTAACCTTGTAACATCGCTCATCCTTACTATGCGGGTTGACTGTGCAGCCTTTCGGTGTCCTCGGCTCTCTCGAGGCGCTCGCCCTCAGGCGGCCCCGAGCGCGCCTTGGAGCTGGCGGGCGAAGACGGGCACAGCATACACACTCCCTCCGTCGTAGACGCCTGTCCAAGGGCGGCTTCAAAACACTGTGCCATCCCCTGTCTTCGTCTGCTGTCAAGCAGAGGGGCCTAATACGGTTCCGGGGGGCCGCGCGACTGTGAAGCACACGGGGTCCTGGGGGGGAAACGGGCCCTGGGACCCCAGAGGGCCCTTCCTCTCCAGGACCCACCTCGCCATCCCGAGCCGTTCTCTGACGGCCCCCCCCGGGGGCTCCCGCGCGCCCGAACACGGCCGAAAGACTTCAGGTACGTAGGAACCCTCCGGGGGTCCATCCCGACCCCGCTCTTCGGGGCGGGCCCGGCCCTGCCTACCCGGAGGCCTCCAGCAGGCGTGAGGAGGACAGGGCGCGCCAGGCAGGCCTGCCGCGCCGAGCCTGGCCCTCCTCCGATCCGACAGCGTTCGTGTTCGGTTTCGGGCCATATAACGACGATCCAGGCACCATCGGGGCGACGGAGGAGTATGAGGAAGAGGAGGAGGATGAGGAGGGGGAGAAAGAGGAGGAGGAGGAGGAGGAGGAGGAGGAGGAAGAGGAGGGAGAGGGGGAAGAGCAGCAGGAGGAGGAGCAGGAGGAGGAGAAGCAGGAGGAGGAGGAGGAGGAGGAGGAGGAGGAGGAGGTCTCTGGTGGCCGTTCGGGACGATCCAGGCACCCTCGGAGCGCTCTCAGCGAGGCGCAGCTTCCAGGACGCATCCCGAGGCGAGAAAACCTCCAGGAGCTGACGAAAGCTGCCGAGGAACCGTCGAAGGCCTCCCCATCCTCCCGATCCATGGCGACGCTACGGGGGCAACCACGCCCCCCCCCCCCTCCCGAGGCAGGCCGGCCGCCTGTCGGAACACGCCGCACTCGCACAGCAGCGCGCGGGGCGACACGCGCTGGAGGCCCTGGAAGCTCACGTGCACGCAGCTGATCGGGCGGGTGGTGGTCGGGGGTGACCTCAATGTGGGGTGAAAAGCAGGGCCCTGAAGGGGGCCTTCAGGGCCCCTGCTGGCTCTCTCAAAGGGGCCTTAACTGGCCCCTTCAAGAACCTTTTCCCAGACATTCTACGCCCTGATATTTTCAATTCGCTGTCCCCAGAAGTCCCGGTTTCTCATCCCGAGTCGGTCTTTGACGGTCCAAGGGCCCAGCGAGGGTACTCAGAGGCCAACCACTGTCAGAAGCCTCCCGTGCTTTTCTCTAATATGTATAATGCGATCATGTCTGGGGTTCTTCAGAGGTTGAAGGACAAAAAGGGGCGGAAGGAGGAATAACAGCAGGAGCGCGAGGACAACGACGACGACGATCTGGAAGAGGAGGACGGCGACGACGAGGCGGGGCATTGTTTTTGGGTGACCCAAAAGGGGTCCAGCTGCAAGGGGTTGGGGAAATAGATTTGGGGCAATTGTTTTGCAGATGTATTGCGGCGGAGGATTCTGTTCCATCGTCTTGGAACTCATGCACTGCACGCGAACATCCAGCAATACATCTGCGCCCCGGACTACATTTGCGCGCCCCAGAGGTATTGCAACCCCACAAAGGGATTGCACCAAATCTATTGCACCACCCCCTTGTCGCTGGACCCCCCCCCTTCTGGGTCTAGCCGAACTGTCACCCCCCATTCGGGTCACCCCCCACTGCCCCACGCCCGAGCTGACGGGGTCGCTCGGCTGCGGACTGCGCTCGGGCGCGGCGGGCGACGGCGGCTCGGCCGCCCCCGGGGCGGCCATCTCGCTCCGCCCGCGCTGGGCGGCCGCCCACCGCGCGGTGCCGAGGGTTCGCTGCTCGGGGGCGAGGGAGGGCGGAGAGGCAAACGAGGCAAACCCAAAGATCCGACGCTCCAAAACAACGTGGAGCGGCGGCTTTGTGGCCGCTTTCTTTCGGCCTCCCGGGGCCCCTGCCATGCCTCGAGACCATCAAAAACTATCCATAGGACGGAAAACGGCCCTAGGGAAGTGGTCCAGACCCCCAGGGCCCACGCACCGAAAACATTGGAGCGGCCTGATCCGAAAACCATGCACCCCAAAATGTTGTCATCTCTTGGAGGGCAACTTTTTACTTCCGCCGGCTTCCGCTGGCCGCCAGCTTCCGCTGGCCGCCAGCTTCCACCGGCGGAGCCGCCCTCGTCTTACTTCCGCCAGCTTCCGCCGCCTTCCTCCGAGGAAGAAAAGACCATCCCTTCGATCCTGGAAGGCGAGGCCCTGTCTAGAGCGCCTCAAACGGAGGAAATGCTAAGTGACCCGAGAGCCGCGGCCGACAAGACTCGTCGGAGGACGAGGAGGGGGAGCGGGGAGGGTGCGGGGGCGGTCCCCAGGCAGTCCTTTTGGCAGAGGACGCCGACGCTGCACCCGTCGAAGGGCGGCGTGGCGGAGGGAGGAGAGGGAGGGGATGGGGAGAATGGGAGAGGGACAACTTCTGAGCATTCTCTTAGGGTGGAGAGCTCAGGGTGAAATCCAGATGGGCGTTTGCACCGCGAAAATCAATCCGTCTTGTGATCCACCTTTTGCAGATTCAAGCCTCGAAATTCCGTCGAAACGGCATTTCAGATTCAAGCCTCATGGACTCGCTTAGAACGGGCAGAGGTCAGCGGCCGTCATTTTCGCGCTGGCGCCTGCCTACTCCTTTGGGGGGCACCCTGGGGGGGCGAGCGAGGACCTCGACAGAGCTCTCCGCCGCGCCCCGAGAGGCCCGAAGAGGACAGTGTCGTGCTCCCCAGGCCCCAGCAGCGCCAGTGGCAAACCGCACCCCGGCGTAACCATACCCTTTCCAGTCGCCGACCCACTCCCGACACATCGCGGGCCCAAACCTGGCGGGCGCAAGCCTGGAAAATATGACGGCCGCGGCGCCCTCTCGAAAACCGAAAACGGACAATTCACTGATCGACGTGTCAGGGGGGGGGGGGGCTCCGCCCAACCCCCGACAAGCCCCCATCCGCGCTCTTTTCCAGGCGCTCCGGGGAGAGGACCGCCCGCGCTCGCCCGGCCCCTCCGGGCGGAGAGCGCTCCTGCGGGCCGCGGCGCGTGGCTGGGGGGCGCCGCGGCGGGCTGGGGAGGCGCGGGCGACCCTTTCTTCCCAGACCCCCTCGCGTCGTGAGCAGAATCGCGACGGG